ACTCACCCAGTGAGAAGACTTTTGGCATAATGTGCCGATTTGTACAGATCCTGGAGATAGAAGGACTTCAGACCAACCAGGGAGTTATCTGATCAGCTTGGTGTTCAATGTAACTCTTTACCATGGCTCAGACTTTGTTACTTGCAGTTACAGTTTCTCATTTTAGATTGTGCAAATTTTGCATTTGTTTTTACATGTTCTTTGTTCATGCTCTTTATCATTTTTCTGAGTTGGAAAGTTAGATTGCATCATAGTTTACTTTATACATATTTGTATTCTTCAGTGGTGAAGTATATTGCAAAGCAGCTCAGCCATGTGAGAAGACTTTTGGCACTTTTTTGTTTTTCGTTTTCTGAGTTGGAAAGTTAGATTGCATTCAAAATGTACAGAAATACTTAATTTTGTTAAAGCTTTTTATAAAAAATGCTTCTGACCAGAGCTTTGTTTCCTTGTTAATGTTGAACACCACCAGAGGGGCTCTCACCTGAAAGGTCTCTGCTTCATGTGTCTTCAGCAGAAGATCTAGACTTTGATTGCTATATTTTCAGTTAATATTGACCTTACTGAGCTTTAGCCATATCCGCTGCCTATCATAAAAAATGTTAAGTACAGTGAACCTTTCTAAAATATACAGTAGTAAAGAGACAAACCCACCAGCATTATAGTAGCCACATTCTTGTTTGTGGGCTGTATATATAAAATTGACTTGAAAAAGTTGCTGATTTTAGAGTACTGGCACCTTTTTCATTCCAATTCAAGCACTGACTGTTATTGCATTGGAGAATAATACAATCTGTTGATCAACTTGACATGCATTATATGCAATCTGGATTGCATCGATATTAGCTGGCTTTCCATTTTTGTATATTCTTTCTCCAGGTAGTTGGAAAAAGTTTTCCGTCCCATATGCCGTGTGCCGCCCGGACATGCTATCATGCTAACTAGCTCCCTGAAAGCGGGTGACTCCACTGTAGCAATAGCCTGCATGTGTTCTACAACATACCGTGCAATGGCTTTATCGACTTTTCCCTGGCTAGCAGTCCCTTGGTTAAATTTTGTCCAAAATGTTTAAAAATAAAATATTTGAAAAATGGTATTAAGTAATGCAAAGTATACATGATGTGAACATGCACGGTACATCATTATTAGACTTAATTGTATTCTTCAACCAACCATTTTCCCAGCATTTCCCCATCAATCAACTGGCACACACACACACACACACACACACACACACACACACACACACACACACACACACACACACACACACACACACACACACACACACACACACACACACACACACACACACACACACACACACACACACACACACACACACACACACACACACACACACACACACACACACACACACACACACACACACACACACACACACACACACACACACACACACACACACACACACACACACACACACACACACACAACTGTGTGTATCTTCCACTGTTTGTTGTAAGACACAAGTCTTTTCTTTTTAGAAGTGCCAGGGCCCAGAACCACATCCTCTCTCTCTTCTCCTCTTTCATTATCACCTCCTCCACCGGCAGCGCTCATTTTCCCACACGACTGAACAGGCTGACATGCCACACAAACAATGATGCCGCACCCGCGGCCCACCGGAGAAAATCTCTCACACACACGTGCCAGCATTGTACCTGCCCTGTCAACTGAGCGGTCCTAGTGCCCTTCTTATACAGCACACAAACACACAGGCACGCAGCCAGACACACTGCATTGCGCGCAAACAGAAACATATTTTTTATTTTTCCCTTTACACGGGAGTCCGGGACAAACAATGTCCCGTACGGGACACGCCCCTTTTGGCTCAAATACGGGACGTCCCGGCTAATACGGGACGGTTGGCAACCCTACCCACAGCAGCAGACGCACATTCATGACGTCCGCTGGCGCATCATAAACACGTCGGATAAAGTGCATTCGGATTCTCTAAAGCAGTGGTTCTCAAACTTTTTTCAATAATGTACCCCCTTTGAAAAAAATATTCAGCCAAGTAGGCCTACCCCCTGATCAGCGCAAACAAAATTGTTAGGGAAAAAATGCCTATATAAAGAGGTACAGTAGCCTACTACAGCACTGCACCATCAGTGTCTGATTTATTAAAACAACAACCTTGTTAAACAGCATTAACATTGCATAATGCTATACTTTGCGGCCACACGCCGTTGCCAAGCAACGCTTATTGTTTAGGTCCTTTGATAAGCAGGCAGTCATATCATTAACTAGAACCAGCGCCATATAGACTGAGAGTTATGTCATCTCCGTTCACTCTAATGGACCACTTTTTTACAGTAATGGCGGATCGTGGAGCCTCTCAATCGTTCCCCGGAAGTTAGCGCCAAGGCTAGCAGAGCTATAGAGTTGCAGCATAATAGACCGTTCGTGACGGACTTTTAAAGGTAAGAACAAGTTTAAAGATTTATATTGCGGATATTATCAGTACATCTGATTCAAATTAACATGTGTATGTCAGTGGATTATCCCTAAATTAGTAGATTTAGGGAACGTTTACAGATAACAGATTAAGCTAGGATACCGAAGCAAGTTAGCAGCGCTGACTAGAACTAGCTAGATCTGATAGATTTGGACATAAACGCGAGTGAAGTCTAACCGGATGCGAGAGAGAGAGAGAGAGCAGATCAGCTGCTGCTGACGGAGAACAAGCAGCTCTGCATGATCACAGCTCCGTCCGCTGTGACAGACCGTTGAGCGGAGCAAAATACACTAAGAGTTAGACCTAACACACTTAGCTATTTCATCTACTCTGGAACTAGCTACACTAGTTATACATATATTTATTCTTTACTGTCGGGTCACTTACAGGTTCAGCGAGCTGCACGAGCCTGACGAGCTGTCAGGAGATCGAGGGAGAGGAAAAGAGAGCACCCCGTTTATTTTTCCCATTTTATTATCCAGAATGACTGTAAACCTTTGAAGAAAATAGTTAATCTACTATTAGTAGTTTGTTTAAATGCATTAATTTGTTTTTCATTAACATAAAATAAGTCTCACGTACCCCCTGCAGTACTCCAACGTACCCCTAGGGGTCCGCGTACCCCCCTTTGAGAACTACTGCTCTAAAGTACCGCAGTCTCTTCTCCTAAGTCCTTTTGAATTCTCCTATCCACTATCCCTTAACCCTGTGACGTTTCACGCAGAGGTCAAGGAATAGGAGATAGGGTTAGAATTTAGGAGCTGATTTTTGGATTATCGGAACGCAACCCCGATTTCGGAAAAAGTATGTATTGAAGTCAATGGAGAGAGAAAGATTATCTTTCGATCCCGTTTGAATTGTGCCACACATATGATGTTTGTCAATTTAAAAGATAATTTTGCAAGTCAAAACAATTAAAATGTGTCGTAAAACTGTGAAGTAACACTTTTTTTTTGTGGAACCGCTCAATGAACTACATCTCCCGTCTCGCACCACACACCAAAACGGCCGTCACGTTGGCACATTTCACTTCTTTCTTTCAGAATGAGGCGGAAAGTATTAAAAGAGGTGAAAATCACTACAAGTCTGAGATTGTTGAGAGCTGTACATACGCAAAAGGGGAGTTAGTCGGTTCCGTAAGAGCCAGCATGCGGGACCGGGATTTGTAGTCTCTAGTTGCATATTTTTCATAGTCTTATATTTCAACAGTTTTAAGACAAACTATCAATCTTAAAAAAATCATTTCCATGTCAAAAAAGTCACAAACATCATATGTGTAATTCACGGCACAATTCAAACGGGATCGAAAGATTCGTTTTCTCTCTCCATTGACTTCAATACATAATTTTTCCGAAATAAGGTCCCATGGACCGGAAGTAGATGGGCGTGACTTCGCCTCTCTATAAAGCTATACAAAAAAAAATTGATAAAAAAAAAAGGGGTCTGAGCTCATGCGGGAGATTCTACCGGCAGATACTGCGGTGATGAAACGCCATATCATGGATTATCAAGGATTATTTCTGAAACAGTATGGAGCTCAAAGGCTTTCTCTCTTGCCGGTTATACCACAAGGTGAGTTCCTTTTTATTTCCTGCTTCTTCACACACATGCTCTCCAGTACAGGTTAGCTCTAAGTGTTAGCGATGCTAATGTAAACATGCACTGACCATGTTACGTCCAAAACAGTCGGGCATTGTTTCTGATAGCAACGTTTCTGATAGGGCCGTGGGTGTAAAGCCAGACTACATTTCCGATATTACGTCATATCGGACGCAAATCTGGATCAGCTCCGTTGTAGCCCCGTTTTTAGAGATTTGGGTACGGAGGAAAAGAGAGAGGGTTTTATTTTCTGACGCTGCGTGAGCTCCCCGACACACCGGAGACACATATTTAGTCCCACTCCTTTGCTTTCATGCTTTCAGGGTCTTATGAGGTGACAAGTTACCACACCAAATGCCTAAACTGTTTCTCTATAATGCTACTTAAACAACTATTTTACCCATTTAATAATGATTTTATTGTGGACTTCGAGGGACAGTTGGCCAGAGAACCCTACGTTTTTATTTTAATTTTATATTTCTACGAGTGCCCCATTTATCCTGCCAATATCCTTTTCAATTTTTTGATGGATGGAAAACTTAAAGACACAACTTGTAATTCCCTCGAAGCACAGGCAGACACAAGTGGCTTTCTCATAACGGGTTTATTCCTCCGAATCCACCGTGAAAACTACACAAACAAACAGTATAAATGACAAACATAGTTCCGTGTTAGACACACAATAACATGCACAGCATGTGAGATAATAAAAGTAATACAAACACAACAACATACCTCGTTGGGCTGCATGCTCTGTAAACAGAGGGAAGTATTCTTCAGTTCTCTTCACAACTTATATGTATAAGAATACAAAACTAACGGAGCTTTAAGTATCCGTGCATCTTACTCTGAGGGTGCTTCTCATGTACTCGCTCTCTAACTCACGCGAGAACAGCATAACGAGATGTGAGCTTGGACTTCAAAATAAAAGACGAAATATTGCACGCATGAAACATTACAACAATAATTATTATTACACTTAGAAAATACACATTACAGTTAAATTATGAACATGTCAAGGCTGCACTTACACTCCCACCAAATCACACATTACTCGTGAGATTTCACACAAAAGATTATTGTACAAAGTACATGCTTTACCCTTTGAAATAGACATTACCTGTAGATAACAACTTAACATGGAATCTCAGGCAACACATTAAACACCTTATTCTGCCTCAAGCAGAGTAACAACCTTGTGTGCAGGTCTTTCAAGGAACACAGTCCTAATTGTGGGTTTACCCTTTTTGTCAAATGTGCTTTGGCTAACCAGTAATTTAAGTTTTCTGACCCTACTATCTGACCCTGGAAAGACTTCTTTAGTCTTCTTTCAAGACAATTTAGGCGGTGTACTGCACACGTCTTGTTGTCAGGTAACTTTGGTCTTTCGCCTTTGAATGGTTGTACATTCATTGGTTCTTTGTTTCACACCTTGGTGTTCTTTGGCATGTCGTTTCAGTCTTGCAACTGCTCTTGACCAATCAGAGCATTTCTGTAAGCGATCCAATAATGACCCGTCTTCCTTGCGAAGTTCAGGATCATCCTTATTGATTTCTCCCACCTTGCATTCTCTTACAGGTAGGTCCTTTTGCCAAATAAACTTTGGTCCTGTGAACCAGTTTGAAGTCTTCAGTTGCTCTGCAGTTAAACCTTGAGGCATGATCTGCTGGATTGTCTTTAACTTTGGTTCGGCTCACATAGTGTACTTCATTTTTGAGACTGAGAGAAGGTTCTACACCTGGTGTCACTTGTCTTACTACTATGCGATGGCGTCTCCATAATCTAGACAGGGATTCATGTTTCCAACAATACTCCATCCAAGGTCTGTACGTTGTGCGTAAGGTTGATTTTCTTTACCAGACACAACTTCTCTTGGAAGTAAAGCTTGTGAGTAGTTGTACCCTATGAGCAGACCCACTTCACAGTCTTGCAGAGGTGCAATCTCTCCTTGGAGGTGCTCGAGATGAGACCAAGCTTTTGCAGTTTCATCTGTTGGTATGTGAGTTCTGTTGGCTGGAATGAAGTCACGTGTATAGACTGGTGGTAAGGGAATCTTTTTACCGGAGTAAAAGCCTCTGACTTGTAAGTTGTTCACTCTTTGAGCGCTTACAACTGTGGTTCTTGAGGTCATAGTAGATTACATTACATTGCATTTAGCTGACGCTTTTATCCAAAGTGACTTACAATAAGTACATTCGACCAGGAAGACACAACCTTGAAGAAAACAGAATCATATAAGTATATCAGGTTTCATAGAGCCAAACATTTCAAGTGCTACTCAACTGGCTTTAGGTAATCCAGTCCTTTATTAGTATAAAAGTGCTTCGTTAATCGTTCTAACGCTCGAAGTGGAGTCGAAAGAGATGAGTTTTCAGTTTGCGCCGGAAGATGTGCAAGCTATCTGCCGTCCTGATGTCAATGGGGAGCTCATTCCACCATCTTGGAGCCAGGACAGCAAACCCACGTGTTTTCGCCGATGGGAACTTGGGTCCCCCTCGCAGCGAGGGCGCAACGAGTCGTTTGGCTTATATAGCTTGAGCTTGACTTGTTGTTTACTTGCTTCCAAAGCCTCAGCTACTTCACTTAGCACAAATGTTGTGTCACTTTGAGAATCCAACAGAGCGTATACAAGGATTTCTTCTGCTGGTTGACATGTGGATGAAAGCCAGACTGGAATTATAGCAGCTGTTTGTGTATTACCTTCACCAAGTATTACTCTGTTGGAAATAGCCGCTGTGGTTCTTTCTTCTTGTTGTGTTGGTTGAAGTCTTTCTTTGTATCTTTCTCGATTTGTACGCTCTTCATGCAGACAGGTAGGATGTTGCTTCTTGCACACTTCACATACACTCCTACTGTGGCAGCTCCTTGACTGATGGCCAGTCTCGAGACATCCAAAGCATAGCTTCTGAGCTTGAATGTACTTGATTCTGTCTGGGACAGCTTGCTCCATGAACTTCCTGCAATTGTGCAAGGAATGCCAATTCTTCTTACAGAGAATACATGTTAAGACAGTGTTTTCGTCTGAACTTGTGGTCAGTGTCTTTGCTGCAAAGCTTTGTTGTCTTTGAGATTTGGTGTTTTCAGCTTCACCTTGCTTCAGTGATTGCAATGATGTGACAGGGTTACAGGCAATCTTTGCTTCTCTTGTCAAAAACTTTACAAATTGGCTGAAGGAGGGAAATTGTTTACTGTCTTCTTGGACTTCAGTAACCTTCCGATTCCAGCTTGCAGTTAGCCAATCTGGTAATTTTGAAAGTATTTGCCTGTTTTCATTACAGTCATTCAAGATCTCTAATGCCTTGATATGGACCATGGCAGCCTCGCAACTACGGAGAAAGTCTGCAAAATCTCTGAGCTCAAAGCTGTCCTTAGATCCTATCTTGGGCCACGATTGAAGCTTGTCTCTATAGGCTTTTGCAATTGTAAATGGATTCCCATATCTCTCCTCCAAAATCTCCCATGCTGCAACATAGGCAGATTTGGTTCCGAGCAGGAAATAACCATCAAGTGCTTTCTTAGCTTGTCCACCAACATATCTCCTTAAGTAGTATATATTTTCTTTGTCTTGGATGTTCTTCTGGTCAATCAGTATTTCAAATGAAAGTTTCCAGTAATTGTATTTCAATGCATCCCCACTGAATACTGAGGGTTCAGGAACTGGAATTCTGTTGGCAGTTAAGGCACCAGCTAGCACCTTAACAAGCTCTGCTGTACTTTCACTTGAGGAAGTAGTGATAACCTGTCGTTGAGGACTTGTGGGAGCAGGCACTGGGTTACTTACCAGATCCCTCTCTAGCACGTCTTTCCATTCTTCTTTAATGGACTCTTCTTGGTCATACACTTGCATTCTTGCTCGTGCTGCATTTAAATCTTTTACTGCTTCCAAATGCTGTATTTTTCTCCGTTTGTCATCCAGAGTCTGTTGTAGAGCTACATGCTCTTCTTCTAGACAAGCTTTAATTTTAGCTTTCTCTTCCTCGCTTTCTGAACGATGTCTTAACTCTTCTGATTCTCTTTCTGAACGATGTCTTAACTCTTCTGATTCTCTTTCTGAACGACGCCTCATGGCTGCAGTCTCTTGATCAGCTATCTTTCTTTTAGCTTCTGCTTCCAGGCACTGAATCTCCAAATGTTCTCTTTCTTGTTCTTGTAACACTTTCAGAACAGCTTGGCTTGCAGCAGCCTCAGCAGCAGCTTCTTGTCGTTTCACAGAAGACTGGTTCGATTGCTTGGAGTTGCTTTTCGAAGAAGAAGTGTAGGTGCTTGAGTTAAAGAGAGAACCTGCTTCAGGCCAATCTTTCTTTTCTCCTTCTGGAACCTTTCCATCGAGGAGACTTGAGGCTCTGATGATGACAAACTTAGAAATCTCTGCACACAGATCCACTCTTCGACGCGTGTCCTGGTCTGGAGTTGAGATTGTACGCAGATCCTCATAAACATGTTTGACATCTTCTGACAAACTTGTGACATCATGAATTATGTCATTAAGCAAATCCTCAGACAAAGACTCTGTTGTTTGAGATAATGGCCGCTTAGCTGTTTTCACTTGTGTTCTCCATTTCTCATAATTGTAGTTGAACTTTTGTAGGAGCGTTTTCATTTGTTCTTCTTGCATTTCTCTACCCTTTTCTGTAGGAGTTTTAGTTCTTTGACCTCTTCTTAGCTGCTGTGCTTCAGTGTTATCCACAGCTTCGTATTGGGACTCTGCACTTTCCCTAACCTGAATTGTAGGCTCACTAGACTTAGACATTAGTAATCACTACTTTAAAGTGACTCACTTTTATAAACAGCAAAATGCAGTTAAACCTTTTAATGAACTTTCAACACTTACTCAAATGTAAGTGTGACTTAAATGTACCCTATAAGACTTCAATAGAGGTAGAAATGCACTTAAAATAGAAAATGTGCAAAAAACAGCTTAATTGAACTTTACACCTTTCAAAAATAGACTCAAAAATAAGACTTCAGAACTTCAATGAAATAACTTTCACTTATTATCCCCAAAAACACACTTTGAATTAGAAATTGGAAATAAAAACACTTGTGTTCCCTTTAACTTTACGCCTTAATTAACAAGCCTTAATAAAATGACATGAGCAAATAAGTCAAAACGCTAACCACACACGCTACTATAGTTGGCACTCACGGTAATAATGGTTTAGCAAACCTTTACAGAAGCCCTTTATTCGGATCACTATTGATTTCTTAGTGTCCAAGTTCTTTATGGCTCTGTCTTGAAGCGTTGCTCTTTTAAGAACTGCGCGCGTCGTCCACTTCTGTGTGTGCATGCGTAGTTTCTCCTCCTCCGGCGGCCATTTGAAGACAGCCTAGTGCTCAGTCCGTGATCCTCTGAAGTTGCCGCTTCGTCAATTAAGACACACTCGCGTCGATGGACAGTCGAGTTTTCACTGTAATTCCCTCGAAGCACAGGCAGACACAAGTGGCTTTCTCATAACGGGTTTATTCCTCCGAATCCACCGTGAAAACTACACAAACAAACAGTATAAATGACAAACATAGTTCCGTGTTAGACACACAATAACATGCACAGCATGTGAGATAATAAACATAAAAGTAATACAAACACAACAACATACCTCGTTGCGCTGCATGCTCTGTAAACAGAGGGAAGTATTCTTCAGTTCTCTTCACAACTTATATGTATAAGAATACAAAACTAACGGAGCTTTAAGTATCCGTGCATCTTACTCTGAGGGTGCTTCTCATGTACTCGCTCTCTAACTCACGCGAGAACAGCATAACGAGACGTGAGCTTGGACTTCAAAATAAAAGACGAAATATTGCACGCATGAAACATTACAACAATAATTATTATTACACTTAGAAAATACACATTACAGTTAAATTATGAACATGTCAAGGCTGCACTTACACAACTAATTTAATAGGTTCTCCATACCTTAAGCTACCAATATAACTCTTGTTATCCTTTTTCACAACATGCAATATTAAAACTGGCCCACTAGTTGGAGACAAACGCCCAGTAATGTTTGTTTAGTCTGAATGTATGGCCATAGACGTATGGCTTACAACATGCAATGACTTGACCTTCCACTAGAGAGCAGCAAATACCTACTCATAATAAAGCAAATCGCATCAGTCTTGCACTTTTGGAAGGATTACAGTGCATTTGACTCCCTTTAAACATAATTATAAACTACCACGTTTGTCGCGTTTGCAATGACGTGGTTGTACAAAATAAAATCACTGCAAACTTTGCAGCAGCCACAACATTTCAAATTAAAATCAATAATCAAAATAAAAAGGCATGTAGTCACAAAGTAATAAGGTTCAGCCCACTAGCCACTGGTGTCATTGAACTCCAAAATCTATTTGTAATGTATCTGTTATAGAGCACCAACGTGTTTACATTTCTGTGTGTGCTTGCATGAGTACAGTGTGAGCCTGTGTTTGTATCTGTGTGCATGCATGCATGTGCTGGTTTGTTTGTTTATGCAAGTGCATATGTTTGCATAAAGTGTGTTTTGTGTAGTGCCATTTGTGTGTGTTCTGCCTGTCCAGGTGATCCTGGGGCCGTGGTGTGGTCTGTGGGGAGAGAAGGAGAGGGATCGCAGAGAGGCCCAGGCAGCTGTATTTGGGATAAACAGACATTACCCTGCTGTGTTCTAATTTACTGAAGAGTGGGAATTAAACTTTAAACTCATCCCGCCCCTCTGCAGTCCAGTTCTGCATGCTCCTGGCCATAAACAACCACTTGCACAATGTGCATAATCAAAGTGTTTCCCCATCAAAGATAAGGCTTTTTAGTATCAAATTCACACCCCTATTGGCTTTGAAGGTTGTAGTAAAACACAGCTTCTGAGTTTTTGCCATCCTTGAATACTTTTGAAAACAACCATCATCAACATAGAAACTTTTTACAGGCACCTTTCTAGCCAATGGGGATTTAGTTTGTAATGTTCAATGATTAGAACAGGACATATTGAGACAATCTCACTGTGTCCATAGCACACAGAGTCCTATAACAGCATCTCATAGTTTTAGTACCAAACACTGCGGACAAAACCTGAAAAAAGAAGCAGCACTTGTTTTTCCCTGATTAGTTATAAATTGCCTAACCAGGAGTGTTCCGCAATCCCACTCAACTCAACACAGACGTTCCAATATTGGTATTTTCCAGATGAGAGTCATTAAAACATGCTGAAGCGTTGCATAATTATGAGTTCAAGACTAATTCATATTGCTGTAATATCTCATTTGAATGGCCAGAATAATTACTGGGTTAAATGCAATGGGAGCTTTCTCTCACTGCAGGTTTACACAGGAGAATGACATGTGGCTTTCATATAAGAATTAGTCAAATTCCTCATCTCTGGCAGTCAAATTGAAACAGGTTGGCTTCTCTCTCTCTGCTCTGATGTTTTGCAACCACTATAGGCCCACCACCTGGATGAGTGGATGACAAACAAACTGCACATTTTCCTTCCAGTAACTGACCAAATAGATATTTATAACCAGCTGGTCACCTCCCCCACCCACTGGGCCCCCTCTCCTCAGCCACGGCTGTGAGAGCTCCCTTTAAAGACCAGTTGTGTCACTTCTGGCTTTGTTCTTAAACAAAGAGAACTGCCCCTCATCTGCCCGTAATTGGGCCGACTCTTGGAATGCGCTTGATGTCTCCGCGCGGGCCATTGCCGCTCCAACAGACAGGCAAGGGGTTTCTGGGACGGGAGATGAATTAGTGGAAGTCCATCCAACACCCTTATTCTGTTTTATTTTGCTTTCCTTTTCTTCCTTACCTCCTCTATCATGCTTTTTACCTCTGTTTCACCCTCTCAGTGGTCCATTTTCTCAGGCTGGAGGATCCCTGAATTGAAATAAAGAAATCCCACACTCACAGTAAATGGAACAGTCTGCTGATTGACTTCCCTGGGTCTGTTTGGTCTCTCTGAGCTGCACCACCTCGCTAAGGTTGGGTGGTTGGACGCACTACAAGGCCGATCTGCGGCACATGTCACTAGCAGTTACCGAGGTGATGTTGACCATGGGCAGATGCTTGAGAGGGGATTGGAGGGTGTTTACGGCATTGTTACTAAAGGGAAGCAATTTAGGGAGTTCAAATTCCACTTTCAAGGAAGGAAAATTGTTGAAACAGTAGTTGGCAGGCTACCAAAAGCCTGAGCCCCTAATTGTTTTCATTAATAGCAAATAATCTCAAAGTGCTTACTCGGTATGCTGGGAAACATTATGGTGTTATGTTCAAGACATGTACATCTGGGAAGCCTCTGAGGATTAGGTTGGACATTTGTCTGTAGCAATCACACGAACCCCAGGTGTTCATGTGAAGGTTTAAGGACTTTTACGCTCCAACCACAGATATGTGAGTGTCTTTGTGGAGGTGTTGTGTACCTTTTGGTGTTTAAGCAACCTTGCCCTCAGGATCCGACCCTTTGGTTTTGGTCATGACTCATTTACTCCCGAATCCTTCACCTTTCACCCCCAGCTCCACTCTCCATGTCACTTGCTAGCAACCCTGGATAAGTAAATACATGATGTAATGTGTGGTTTTCGCCTCCACCCCCCCAAAGCCCCCACCAGCCACCTCCACCCACATCCAGAGGTGATTAAACTGTAGCACAGCAGTTTTAGGTGGGGATAGCTGGGTGTGGTCATAAAAGAGGTAGGGAAATGGAGGGGAATTTAACAAGGCTGGTTTTGGGCAAATATAATGGAAGGGAGGGGTGCATGCAGGTCACCAACAGGGCGGGACTAAGAGCAGAGAGACGTCACAGTCGTGGTTGATCAGTCTGGGCTGGGGCTCCTCTGTCCCTGCAGCCTGTAGCCGGGGTCAGGCCAGCGGCTCCACCTCCCCCCGGCTGTCTGGGCTCCAGGTTCCAGGTGGGTGATTGGGGCTGTTGACTTCAGCATACGGCAGCCGCTGCCTGGTCCTGTTGCCCGTAACGATCTCCTCCAGGGCTCCCAGACCCATTGTCATTCAGACTCCCTGCTACAATTCTCAAGTCTCCCTCCGCGCTGGAGCCTGGCCTGGGATGGGCTGCCTGACTGCTTTCCCCATGTTTGTTTGTGTGAGAGAATTTGAGTTTGACAAGAATAACAAGTCTTTATATGTGGTGGTTTTTCATTACAATGGGTGAGACCTAATAATGGAGTCTATTGTTTGTTATTGGGGTTAGGGTTAGGGTTGTGTGTGTTGCCGTCTCTTTTGCTTTTTGACCTGAAACAGGTTACAGTTCAAGCATTCAAGTAACCTTAATAAATAGCGGGACATTTTGGAAGATTTAAATGAGGATTGATACTACTGTCATATTTGAGTATTTAATTTGAAGTTGGGTCCAGGAGATCATTAGCTTAGCTTAGCATTAAGACTTACAACTAATGGAAACAGCTAGCTTGGCTTTTCTAAGTCCACTTCACCTTTAAACTTCGCTATCATGCTGCATTTTCATCATTCATTCCATTGAAAAAACAAAGTTTGAAAATTACATATTTTGGTTTCAGTGTTAGGTTCCAGAGTATTTGTTGGCCAGAAACAGTGATTTCCTGCAGTTTCCGATGGTTACCGCGGCCTCACAGTGAAGACAAGAAAGGGTCACTGTGAACTTCTCGTCTTCCGTGAAAAATGTATTGTTGACTGCTTTAATAGAACAAAAGGATGCTGCAATGTTTCAAAAGGTGGACAAGTCTGCCTGCCTGGTTTCTGTCGGCAGGTAGTAGTCTTTCATTTTAGTAAAAAAACTTGGTGTGAGTGAATCAGAGCACTTCACGAGGGCCATCTTTAGACCATAAACCTTATCAGGAGAACTCAGTAACTGTACATGTAAGTTTTGATGTGCTCTCTTCGACCCGTCATAATAGAGCAGCCCCACTTCTTAACATGCCAGGCAGGAGAAGAAAGTATTTGTCAAAACACATTTTGGAATTCCATGTTAAGAGATGA